CGGGCTGACAGAGGGCTGGCCTGGCTGTGAGTCCTGGGCCGATGTGTAGCGCAGCACGGCCTCCATCAGCAGGAGCTCGTTGGTCCTCTTATCCACAAGATCTGGGTGGGAGGGAAACACCGTCCCGCAGGGAACACCCCTGCCCAAACCCACCCCTGGCTGTTTGCTGAGCAGGGGATCCACTGATTTCCCCGAGGAGGTGCTGTCGGGCAGCCTGTCTCCCCAGGGGCAAGGGCCCAAGGCTGGGTCCTACACCCAGAACCAAGAGGAGGGCTTGAAGGTCTACTGAGATGTTGGTACAGCCAGGTTAGCTCCTGAACTGGCTGGGAATTTGGCGTTGCAAATTCACATTAGGGACACCCATGCATGACAGGGCAGAGGAAAAAAAAAGAGCTGTGTTAAAACACAGTGCAAGCGGGTGGTGGACCTACAAGATCTGGGCCATGTGGCGGGGGAAGACAGGCAGCCCTGACTCACCCAAAAGCTGCATCAGGTTCAGATCCGTCATCTGCCTGTTTTCTCCGAGCTGCTTCACGATCGTCATAGTACCGCAGCTGATTTCTTTTGACAGGACCTCCACGCTAGATTTGAACTGGCCCAGGACTTTGCTGCTCTCTTTGCATCTGTCTTCATACCAGTTGGCTTCCTCAGTGGTTTTCTTTAATTTCTCCTATCAGCAAAGGTTTTGCTAGGTGTCGTATCAGCCCCCTGCTCTCCGCCCCACCCCAGTGATGGACACTGGAGACATCCCAGGAGATGCTGTGGGATGCTCCCATCCCTGCAGGGGAAAGGCTCTGTGAAGGGAATCCCAAGTTCCCCATGCCGCAGAGGAGATCCCAGGTGCTGGAGGACCAGGACTGGCAGGAGCCCGGCAGTCACCTTATCACCATGCACTGGGAGACAGGGCTGCCAAAGCCAATTCAGGGCCCTTTCCTGCCCACGCCTCTCCAGCCGTTGGCCAGAGCAGCGTTGACAAGAACCAGACTCTCGAGGACACATGCGGGGACAGACGGGGGTCTGCTGCCCTTGCCGTGGGAAATCCCGGCTACCATACCTCCAACTCCTTCAGGACATGAAGGGTGCTGCTCTCCACGTGCTCCCGCTCCATCACGATGGTCTTAATTTCATTCTGTGTAAACACAAGCACATGGAGGGGGTTCTGGCGGAATGCCCACCAGATGTGCCTAACAGAGGCTGGGGACCATCTCTCCACCCTGGGAGACATCCCACTTGACCCCTCTGGGGATCCCTGTCCCCAGGCCAGGAGGGCAAGTGATGACCCCACGACAGGCAGCCCTTCTCACTCCAGCCAGCCCCCCACACTGCGCAGGCAGCTCTTGGGCCTTCCTGGATAATGCAGTATTTTTACTGGGTACACGGTGGCAGCATTGAGATACTTTTAGCTCTGTGAACGCAGCGTTCTGTCTACTGGAGTTATATTTTTGGCTACCCCTTTGCATTCCCCTAATCCCACCCGTGTGGCAGGCTGTGAGGCAGGCTCTGGGGTGGGCAACGATCCTGGACACATGGGAGAGGAAAAACCCACCCCAGACCAAAAGCACCAGCTGAGAAAGGGGAGACTTGAAGAGCCTGGAGCAGACCTTGAGGCCCTTGATCCTCTGCTTCATCCTCCAGAACTCATTGCTCAGCTCAATGGCACTGAGGAAGCAGAAAAAGTTCTTCCTCTCCTTTTCAATGAAGCGATCCAGCAGCTGGTCAACGTCTCCATCCTCCGCCAGCTCCATCAGTTGCCTGTAAGCCACCTCCCGGCTCGCAAAAGTCTCCCCTTGGTTCTGCCTGGCCTGCTCGACTGCCTTCAAGGCTGAGAGAGAGACAGAGATGCCAGGCTGTGCATGTCCCTGTAGGCTGCCCTTTGCAGAGCCTTCCTTTGCAGATGCTGTGGGGTTTGGCTTGGTGCTTGGGGCAGGGGTTGCAATGCCGGAGGGGCAGAGGGGGTCTTTATTTCACCCAGAAACTAAGCAGGGAGCTCACTATCCTCACAGGAATGGGGCAAACACAGTGGGATCCCTCCCCAGGAGGATGAAAGGATCCGTGGCTGCACAGAGGGGCAGGTCCTTGCCTTCCCATCCCTCCCTCTGCCCAAAGGGCAGCCCAAGACACACGATGCTGGGTGGTCTCACTTGGATATCACTGTTCATCATTTTTGCTTGTAGGGTGAAGTTTGGGTGAAGGAACCTGTGGGCAGGGGAGGGGTCCTGCCTTTGGGGTGCAATGCTATAAACCGCTGTAAGCAGACCCCTTGCCAACTCTGCAGATCTCTGGTCTGTGGTCCCAGTTGCACATAATCTCTCTCATCTGATACCTCTTTTCTTTATGGCCTCTTCCTCCAATTCAAAGCGATCTGTACATTTGGCGAGCATGAAGGTTTTCAGTTTGGTCTCCTGGTCAATGACAAAGTCCCGCTTCTGCAGCTCGGCATTGTACTGGACAGTATCTACGTTGTCTATTTTGTTTATGGCTGAAATCCTTGCCAGAGCGTCCATCCTGCACACAGGGAGCAGCAGGTTACACCACGTGTAGGTGCAAGGATTTGCGTTCCTGCTCGTTCCCATGCATCTCCATGCCTGACCTAGGAAAGCCTCCACGGTGCTGCGCACATTGCCCAGCTCTCATCCAGACGCAGCTGTGTCAGCCCAAGGCTAGCAGCAAGCTAACAGAGCTCGTGGTGCGGTTTTGTACTTGGACACAGCCCCCAACTGCGGCAGCCAGGCTCACTTTCACAGAATCACAGAACTGATTTGGTTGGAGGAGACCTCTGGGATCATCGAGTCCAACCTCTGCCCTAACACCACCGCATCGGGGCACTTTGACCGGAGCTGGCTGGCCTCTGCTCCACATCTGCTGCATCCCCCCATGCGGGCTCAGGTGGGACTCAGAGGAAAGAGACTGCTCCATGGGGCAATTCACCCCACCCCAAGAAACGTCTGGGATAGGTGGAGCAAATCACCCTGGAGGTACCAGTCTCCCTGCGCTGGCCAGGCCCCTAACCCTCAGCACCCAGCTCTAGACAAGAGCGGTGAATCCTCTCTCTGAAGTTGCGGTCGGTCTCTCTTTACATCAATATTCATCACTGGCATTGCCCGTCAGTGCCAAGTTTGCAAAGCCATGTACCGCTTCCGGAAGGCTTCTGTGGATTGCTGAACAGCATTGTTCATCCTTCTCCTCTGCTGATTGACCTTCTTATGGAGCTTCAAGAAGATGTTGTCCAAAATGCCTTTGTGGATTTGCAAGTTTTCAATCTCTTCTCGGAGCTCGCTGTTTCTGGTCAGGATGGTACCAAACTGGACGGTGACCTGGGGAGAGAGAAGCAAAAGTTTTGAAGCTGCTGTGGGACTGGGGGGTTCAGGTCTCTGCTGAAAGACCTTGACCAGCGCTGGGACAAACACAGCCCAAGAGATTTTAAGTTGGCCCTGCACTATCCTCCTCGCCAAGACAGGGGAGGCAACAGTAGGCCAGGTCGATCACAGCGGAGACCTGGAGCTGGCGTTGTCCAAGGCAAGGTGGCTTCAGGCAGCTCGGTTTTATCATTAACAGGTGCAGACCTTCAGGCTTCTTGGCATGGCACAACTGCTGCATTTGGGTCACCAAGCTTGAAGGAGCCTTTGAGTTATTCTGGGAGCAATCAGGCCAGGGGAACAAGCCAGATCCTTTATGCAGCTTGTGTCAACCAAATGCATTTGCACCAACACCGTTTGTCCTGACCAAAAAGCGTTTTGCCCACAGGCCCCAGGGTGGTCCCGCGCAGGGTCTCCAAAGGTCTCCAAAATGTTTGCTTACAGTGCTTAGACACATCTCCAATGTCTCAATCTGCTTTTGTTGCACTTGTTTGCTATTCCTCGCTTGCTCCGCCTTCGCTGTTACCTGGTTTTGTCTCACAATCTTTTTTCCAGCCCTAGTATCTGCACAGAGTGAAAAAAAAAAAGAAAGTATAATCTCCACCCCTATGTTCTGGACTCTTGTCAGGACGCTTAGCCAAAGAAAATACCCTCTGTTGACCTGAACTACAGCAACCATGTCACTAATGAGCTCACAGTCAGAGAAGCAGCTTTAATCCCAAAGGATCCCATCCTGCACACGCAGAAAGATAAACTGGAACTACGAATGGGTTTATTTTCATGTCACGAAAGAAATGCAGCTGCCTCTGACGGGAAATTCAGCAGGTGTTGAACAAGGCACAGCAGCACTCTGTGTAGAGTGGAAGAGGCAACAAAGATGGGGTTTTGGTAGTGGCATTGTGCTGGCCAGACAGGGATCTGTGCAGTCCTCCCTGGGAATGCGCGGAGGAAAACTTTTGTCAGAAGTGAGGAGCTGCCAGAGGAAACAAATCCACGAGAAGAATGAATAGTTGGAGAAGAACGAAGCGGGGGCCCAGGTGGGAGAGGTATGACTCAGCCAAGAGATCCCTGATTGAAAGCTAACCTGGCTGTGGTGCGCTCCGCAGCATCTCTAGCAACTGTCAACTACCCGAGCATGTTCCCTGACTTGGGTCATGGGCGGCTTGTTAACAGCAGAAAGCTGCAGGGACCTGTCGCTCCTGTAGCACCGAGTTTCCCTTGACTTCCCACCCCACCCTTGACCAAATCCAACCAGGCTGTCCTCAGGAGAAGTGATGGGACGTCCCTCAGATGTTGCTGCTCCTTTATTTGCCATGTCTCAGGCAGCATAACTGAATGTTCCATTCTCGTCTCTTTTTCAGCAGAAAAAAAAAAGTCAAGAGAAAAGCAGAGGGATGTTGCGTGACCCCAGGCCGGGGTGTGCCATCAAAGAGGAGCTGCAGAGACAGCTTGGTGGGACAACAAGGCTGAGAGTCAGACCTCACTTTTCTAGCCAGTGCTGCTGACTTGAATGGGAGCCTGGCTCTATCCATTTGTCATTGTCATGAGCCTTTTGCCAGGAGGCAGCATTATGTTCCAAGGCCTGAATTAAATGCATTTTACGCCAAGGAGTTTCAGCCATAGGGCTCGCTCTGTGACCCTGCTCTGCTCTACCATGCTTAGCCAGGGAATGGTCCAGACGCTCTTACCTGGTTGTCCAGGTCAGCTAACAGGGCTTTTCTGTCTCTAATCAAATAATCGTACTGATGTTTGCGCTGCAAAAGATGTCGTAACTCCATACAAACTCTGTCATCCAGCATCGCATTTCTCTGGGATGTGTTCTGGTTCAGCATTAATAACGCACCTTTGTGTTCTTGAGCCAGGACGCCATTTCTTTTCCGTAAAAAACGAAACGACAAATGACATTTAGCACATCCCACCTGCAATGCTGAAGTAGGTCCTTACCCCTCCCCATCTCAGCGCCAGGGTCCCCAGATCTCGGCATGGAGGAACTTTCCAAGCGCAATGCAGTCGAGCGAAGCTGCACTTACTCCTGAGCTTGCATTTGCTGCTTCACATTGGCAGCATAACATCTCCTCTTCTCCACTGCTATCCGAAATTGTTTCTGCAGTCTCTTGATCTCCATTTCAGGCAGCTTTTCTTTGTCCTTCGCAGTGAAGTTCAAAAGCTGCCCCAAAGAGGTCCCTCCCTGCTGCCACAGAGAAGGAGAGTTTGGTCACTCTGGCAGACAGCGGAGCTGGACACAGGGGAGCGGGTTAATGGCATCACCACCTCCAGCCGTTTGTCACCGCCTCCAGCTCTTCCCTGCCACCTAAGTTATTCATTCCCACCCAAAACACGGAGCCACACAAAACAGCTCCATGAACACTTCTGATCCACTTCACAGCAAAGTCCACTGGGTGCTTTGCTCTTGGGTAACCCACCCCCATGCTACCACCACTCCCCAGGGCAAGGGGGTGTTAACAGCCTGCTGACCGCGGCGGCTCAGCCACAACCAGTAACTCCATTCCAGGGCAGGGTGCAGACCTCCAGCAGTGGAGAGGGCAGGTGATGGCAGGTAGTCACCTCTTTCATCACCCAGCGTGACTGTGAGGACCATGGGAGTCAGAAACAAACTCACCCGTGCTGGGGACACGAATGAATCCAGCTGACTTTGCCCAGGAGTGCTCACATCCCCGGCTGCGGGAAGGTGACTTCTAGCTGACAAACTGCCCAACAGGTAAGCACTGGAGCTGTGGCAGTTAGATCCATCACTATCTGTGTCCTCAGCTGACCCATATGCCCCAATCCTGCCTCCCCCAGCACCCAAATCTCAGGCCACGGCCTCATCCCCGGCACGGCAGGGCAGGCAGAATCAGCCCCACCGCAACCCAACACCTTGCTGGCAAAAGAAAGCCTTGCTCCCCACCGCCTGTCCAGCTCACCGCACTGTAGCATTTATTTCTGCAAGTAAGATCCCCACAGGAGATCACCCGCAGTGCCTACGGAGAAGTTCAGCTTCGGTTTGTGCTTCAGTTTTTACCTTTGAGTCCTCCAGTTCTTCCAGTTAACTCTGCTGGTTGCTCTGCAGATGCCTCGGGAAGGGGACAAGGGAGCTTCCACGAGCACGGGCTTGCTTTCCAAGTGGAGAAATGAAACCCGGGTAAGGGGGTGGTTGTGTCCTCCTGCTCATCCCTCAGCACCCGCTCGCGTGTTTGGCACGTGAGGAAACCATCACAGATGGCTGCACGATGAATAAAAGGAGAGCATTTGTAGTGATGCCATCGCAAAACACGCTCCTCTTACCGAGTTTATAAGTAGGGGAAGAACAGATGGTTTGAGCTATTCCCCCCTGTTTGCTACCTGGGTTTCCATAG